ATGTGTGTGTGTGTGTGTGTGTGTGTGTGTGTGTGTGTGTGGGGGGGGGGGGGGGAGGGGTGCGTGTGTAAAAAGATGAAGTTTTTAAATAAGAATTATTATTTACAAAAATATATACATATGTAAACATACTTTATTTTCATGTTGATACACATACATACTCTATATAAAATTACAAATATTTCCATTCGTTTTAAATATTTCCATCCTCTTTAATGGCAAATATTCAATATTAATATAATCTTCTCTTAAGTAATGGAAAAGTTTAATTTACTTTAAAAATAAAGAATGAACTTATCTACAATTAATGATATTAAATTGATATCTTGTTTATACATACAAATACAATTATCTATAGATTGGTAATGTATTATTAGATGTTTATCACATTCAAGTTTTATTGTTCAATATCTTGAAAGAATTGATACCATTTTTGAAATTATAATAATGCATCGATTTTTTATTAAGATATAGTCTATTCGGACAAACATTTTTTAATCACTGCCTCACTTTTCGATATCTAACGATAGAGTTCGACATATACGACATATATTTTGTACACTTGTTCCGATGCGTTAAATTACGAATTTTAAATAAACTTAAAAAAATAAAGAAATAAAAATTTTAAATAAATTTTAAATTATAAATTACTGAGTACAAAATTATAATTTGCTGGGTTTAATTGCGGCTCGTTATTCATGTTTATTTTTTCGCGTTAATCGATTTGCTATTTGCAATATCTGTTTACAGTTTTTATATAACTCTATCAGATTCACGAGTATATATATATATATATGTGTGTTTCGTGTAGATAATTTATTTTACTATTCTCGAAATATTATACAATCAAAATAACAGCGATGCAATCCACAATAGTAAAATTTAAAATAATTGTGATTTGATTAAGTTGCAAGATAAAAGAAGATTTATTTCTAGATATGTCGCAATTGTATCTAACATCTCTATATAAATTCAATTATTATTTATAATATTATGGAACACTTATTATTGTTATTATTGGGATACAAATTGGATTTTATATACATACATACAGATCAATTACAGAAAAATAAGGTATTTATGAGTAAAGTAGTGAACCAATTACAATAGAAATTAGGAAAACAACATATTTATTTGCATAATATAATAAAGTAAAATGCAATAATGTAACACCGTCAAAACAACGTTAAATATCTCAAGGAAAGAAGAGATAGAAGTACACCAAAGCAAAACGAAACTTCAAACATATCATATGTATAGCGCAAATATCGCTTATTTATGATGAAGATATTTAAGTAATTCATAGATCATTGGGATTTAAATCGTGGTGAAAATGGACGCAATGGTGGTGCGAAAAATGTATTCCGATAAGCCTTGATGCTTGGTGAAACTTGGTTGAACTTGCAATCAATCTTTACCTAGAAAAAATTTTGTTCAATTCAATAAAATTTTGTTTAAATTAAAAATATTAAAAGTCTTGTTTTAATTATTTTTATTTAATTATTAATACTAACAACAGTAACAACATATATAATGATAAAATATATAAAACTTATATAAAAAAATTAATTTTGTAAAGATTTCAAATAAATTATGTTTAAAAAGACCAAATTTTTAATACTGTCAGTTTATTTAATTTATTTCAATTTACACAGAGTAACTTATTTTTGCACAATACATTATCTTTATTTGTTATTTAGACAGATATCTAAAGAGATAGATAAAAAAAGACAAAAAAAAATTTAATATTTGAAGTGAAATAATTAATTTTACTTTATAAAATGTGAATGTGATGAACACTTACCGATGTTTAAATGAGTTATAATTACAAAATTTATGCTACATCTAAAAATCAGAATACATAATTTCTTGCGGTTTTTCAAATTTAATAGGCCGGTAAAATGTAAATGATTGATCCCATCCACGCGGTGCTGTATTGTAATTTGTTAAATTGTGAAGACTAGTTAATTTCGGTCCAGTAAAATTATTATCCTCGTATAACTTGTTCCCTGAAAAAAGAAACATTAAATATAAATCCATAATTATAAACATGAAGAAATCATGAAGAAATCAATATTCCTAATTAAAATTTATGTAATTTTAACATATTTAGTTTTTACGATAAGAATTATCGTATGTATTTTACGTTAATTATCGCGTTTTTATTGTTACAAATAAATACAATAATAAATTTCATAAAAAGATTTTATTAAGAAATCACTTTAAAATTAAAACTTAAAAAAAATATCATTTTTATATAAAAAGATCATTAGGTTGAAAAAAATCTATTTTGTATATTTTGTTCCTTTATAATTTTGTATTTTTATATAAAAGAATTTATATTTTATATAAATTCTCTCTCTATAATATAATATAATATAATTAATTAATTTTCTCTATAATATAATTAATTTTTATTAATTCGTTGATACTGTATAAAGAGTAGGAACAACGTATGTTAAAGTCATTTTATTTTTTTAACATGCAATAATATCAAGCAATAACATAAAAGCGATATAATATCAAGGCTTAGAAAAGCGCATGCGTGTTAACTTGCCTAATTCCGGATTAACGTCAATGAGTTTGCATTCTGGTGTTGCGGTGCCTAAAAGATTATCCAAAACCGGCGTGTTGCGTAAGTGTTTTTTGGTCTCGAGTATGTCCTCGTGCGAGGCAACCATCGAAAGCATCAGCGACTTTGTCTCAGGAAGCACTTCAGCGTCAGTGTTGATAAATTTCGTGTTTGTGCCATTGGCGTAAAGGGCTTCTAATTCCTGTGAAGTGGTTGAATGACGTCTAGTACCCGAATATTCGTCCTCAAACGCGATTGAGTATTCGCTGCTATCGCAGCAGTTCAGCAAGGCAGACGGGGCAGAATTGCCACGATCTATAGATTTCGAATCTTCGGTGGAATCGGTGTCATCCGTCGTATATTCAGTCTCGTCAGTGGAATCATAGCCATTGCATCGAGATTGTAGTTTTGCTAATTTTTCGTAGCTCTCGTGTGCGTTGCATAACTGACCGTTGCAATGAGATTGCAGTTTCCTCTCGTAATTCCCACATGTGTCGTATAATCGATGGTTGTATTGGGATTGCAGTTTTGCAGACTCTTCGTACTTTTCGCGTACACTATATATTTAATTAAAATGAATTTTCAATTTTTTATTTTGTCAAACCTTCATCTCCACAGATAAATGGATATGCGATTAATAAAATATTCCCAATGAAATTACATAAACAGAGAAAAATGTAGATTTTGTGTTGAAATGTAGATTAAATGTAGATTTTTTTTATTTGAATTATGCAATTAAAAATATTGTGAAAAATAGCACATTGTATCTACTTTGCAAATTTATTTTGTATCTACTTTTTAAAATCGTATCATAAATTAAAACTCGCATCACTAAAAATATATATATATATATATATATATATATTTGATGTTAACCTATGAGCGATTTTAACTTCCTTCTTTCAGTTTACGTCACAATCATCACAGAATAATTTAACTTTGTCGATTAAAAGAACAAGATTATTAAAGAACATCAAAGTGAAATATTAGAGAACTTGTTTTGATACATTATCATTAATTATTCGAAGAATTTTCCAAGTGCTCACCGTGCGTATCCCTCCTCCTCGTTGTTATACTTGACAGGATTTCTCGTCTCGAAGAAACGTGCTATGCCATTATTCAATGGACATTGCTGTATGATTGGAATGATCTTCGGACTAATTTGCTTGTATTGCAGAACTGGTCTACAGGTTTTCTCGAATTCTTGTATCAGTTGCTTTACTGGTACAGGAGTGTATCCGTCGTTTTCCTCATCGTCATTCTGCATTTGATTGCCGTTCTGTTGTTTACTTCCAATCTTTTTGTCGATCATGGTATCGTTGTAATTATCAAAATGTTGTTGAATTCTCATATCTCTGCCATTGTAACTCCGCGCATTGCAAAAGTCGGATTTTCTCGGCGATTGATAACTGTTGTTGTTAATAAATCTGTTATTGTTACTTGCGACAATGCGATTATTGGCCATGTTAGCGCGGCGATCGTTAGTAGATTCGAAAACGGCACGACGGGATTTTTCAATGATGGACGATCGAGAATGATCAGAAGGAAAATCAGAATCTGTGCCGACCGCAATTTCCCGCAGGTAAATCTTTTTTACCTCACTCGAATGACCGCACCGATTAGCATTGCAGTGCCTGTCTGCAACTCGCAAATCAAAATTGAAACAGCAAAGCATAGCAACTGGAAGAAGCCTTGTAATAAAGTTTTAGCATGTCTTCTTAAGGAATTAAAGAAAATTATACATTTAAAAAGGATAAAAAAATAAAAAATACAATTACAAAGAAATACAGTAAAAAAATACAGTTTGCAGTTTGTAATTACAAATATTGTTAATTAAATATTGTTTTATGATAATAAATATTAAAAATAAAATTTAATTTTAAAAGACAAAGTTTCTTATATATGTACAAAAAATTATTTTACAGCATTAATTTATTTTTTAACAACATTAAATTATTTTAAACAAATATAACATTTCTGATTCTTATAAATTTATTGTTAATTTATTATAAATGTTCTGTTTTGGCGCAAATACTTTAATTGCGTTCAAACATCTAAATATTTTGAATTCTTAGAAACATTAAGCACTTTAATGTGTTATTTTATCTCAATTTTATCTTATTACACGTTTACCTTGAAATATACTTAATCTCTGATCAGTTATTATAAAAAACATGATCGGCATCGAAAGATACAGGTTTCTGTTTGTCTCAGATATATCGCAGAGATGTTAAATGCGCGCGTTTTCCACTGATTAAATAACATCGATAAAACGCTTGCCAATTAGAACGTCATAGATCATTCAACTCAAACTTTAATTGCCTGGTCCAACATTGATCTTTATTTCGAAGGAGTATCAAATATCTTTGAAATTCTAGAACACTTTCTTGCTGATGCAAGACTAATAAAAGAAAGTATCTTTCCTAAAGACTATTTTAATTAATACAAAATATATTGTACTTCTTTAACATTATAATTATTATGATCAAAGTTTATATTATTTTTTAGTTATTTTTATGAATATTTTACATTATATTCATTATATTTATCAAAGAACAAGAAAATTAAAAAATATAATGTACAATAAAATAAAGCAAAAAATATCAAGAAAAATGGCAGTAAAAGTATAACTAAAAAATTCTAAGTGCATGATTAGAATAATCTCAAATTTAGAACATTTCTAGAATATTCTTAACAATGTATGAAATAATACGATTTTTTAAGAAAATAAAAAGAAACAAATGTTGACCTCATGTACATATAAAATATCAAATGACATTGTATAACACTAATAAATTTCAATGTCAGTTTTTGAAAATTTTTGGTGACAGTGATGTTTGCTCGTAATTTCAAAATATCGCGGATAGAGAAAACAGGCCTCGTTGTTTGCCAACGGAGCTAAATCTGTCAAGTGAGATCATCTTGTATTTAAGATTATTATTTTGTTTATCGTTCAATTGTGTTTGTGTAGTACGCACCTGTTAGCGGGATATTCGCACTGTCGAGAGAAATATCCACTGTAAAAGGATTATAAAATGGTTTATCAATATTCGGCGTACGAGGTGTTAACGACGGTGGCGTCATGAATTTTGCGTTACCATTAACTTCCTGAAACTACAAAGCAAATATTTTTAATCCTTATAACGCAAATTGTTATTATTAAATTTTTTTAACTTTTTTATAGATTAAAGCATTATTTTTCTCATAATAATAGTGAAATGATCTTTAATTCAGTTTTCTCAATGTTGAAAAAAATGTATTATTTCTTTTGCTCTATTAATTTTTAATTTTTTAGCAACAGAGTTGAAAAGCTTAATTTATAATATAAAAGAAATAAAAAATTGTTATTTTTACATGGCATATAAAGAATTAAAATTAATAATGAGAAATCTTTATTGTGCTTACTAATTTTTCCGGATATGTTGGCGTTTTCGGTGTAACAGGTGTATTCGGTGTCTGTGATTGTTCCTGGTCCACTACCCATTTTTCCGATCTTTTCCTACGTTTCGCAAATATCTCGGCACCTATGAAGTGACAACATTATGTTATGTGTATATTTTAAACATAGCAATAATTTTGTATTTACAAGGAACTATCATATTTCTCATAATCTTCTCATTCGAGTAATATTTTATCAAATATTATTTATTGTATGCAATTGAAAATCATGTCAGTTAAATGCGCGATACTTACCGCGTCCTTTTTGATTATTCAAGTCACGGACAATATCAAAGAGTTTTTCGGGATTTTTCGGCACTGGCGCGATATTGACTTCTTCACCTAATGCTCGAATGCCATGAATATCCAGCACTTTCCCGCATGGATTCATCACGCATTTGAGAGGTAGTTTTTCCTTATTAGAAAACATTTTATTACATAATATATAAAAGATAATATTTAAAAATATGCATCATTGTGTATTATATACCTTATGAACTGTGGTTGTTTCCTCTTCATCCTCGATACCTGCAAAATACTATTGATTATCGCTGAACATGTGAAAAGGAAGTAAAGATGAAAAGATGATTTGCGTAGCAAATTGATGATATATTATTTTCGCACAAACTTTTTATAAAATATTAATAACAGATGAACATATGTAAAAAGACAACAAATTGATGTAAATCTTTAATAATTTACTTTTTATATCTAAAAGTTATTGTTATTATTATAGTAAATGATATGCTTTAATAATTTTTTTAAATTAGTGTACTATTAATAATTTGTAATAATTATTTATTAATTTTATATACTATTAAAAGTCTTTTTAATAAAATAAAAATTTTAATTCAACAATTTTAACATTAAAAAAAAAATAAATAAATTATAAGACAAATATGCATACCATTGCCGTCATGGATCCATTTAACTGATCGCTTTTTCCTGTTTACATACATGGTCTGTCCTTTACTTTTCACGTTTTTTACATCGCTGAGCGAATGCGAAATCCGACGTGCAAGTTCAACTTGGTCCTCCACTGTAGGATGTGTCGGTGCGTAAAAGTAGGAGGATGCAAACATTTTTTCTGAAAATTAATTTTTGAGTAAAAACACCTTTTTCTCTTAAAATTATATATTATAAATAAATATTTAAGCAAATACATTTGCTATTTTTAAAAGTTCCTTATAAAATATATTTTATTGTAAAGTTATTATTTTCATGTTATACCGATAAGTGAACGTACTATTTTTAGATTGTAGTAATTCTTGAGAATCCGACGCTGGGGTGAGTAACTTTTGCAAGTTAATCGGGGTAGTCTCGCCCCCCTCCTACAATTAAGAAAGGACTCGTAACGCAAATTTCTTTTTAATTAATAATAATTAGCAACACAGATACAATTTTAATGATCAATTTTTTATAATTTGATATTTTTTTTAGTTTAGAATTTTTAATATTCTTTAATTAATTTTAAAGCATAATTTAATTTAAAAAGAGCTTAGTTACAAATTATGAATTAAAAATAAAAGTAAATATATAATTAAGTTAATAATAAGTTTTTAAGATATATCGATTATAAAGCGATAAATCTAAGTAAAAGAATTCATAAATAAAAGAACTATTTTAAAATTGATTCTATAATTTATTATACATATAAATCATCCTAATTTTGAAAATGATATGAAATCAAAATTTAAAACAATGCTGAATTGAATATCCTTCTTGTTTTGTAATGGAACCTTCAAAGTTTTACAGCTTGAATTTCTTAGAATTTCTCACCATGTCGAAGTGCAATATTCTTGAAGTGAGATTCTCGAGAAAACTTCTCTTGATCGGATCGTGTCTATCAGACGGTTTGTAACCGCGTGAACGTATTACAACATTGTCCGCCGATACGCTACGCTGCAGATAATTCTTTTCCTGATGTAGGGAGCCGCTGTATTTCACGTTGCACTTGTATTCTGCATCCTTGCTGCACGCGAGTCCATATGAGGTGTTGCTCAAAACGTTGCGCTTGGCGTTAGCGTGTCTGTGGACATTTGAAACATTCGCAACACGATGCAGATCCTCCATTTACGCAAACCCTACGAGATTCCGTGATGATCGTACAAACATAGAGTTTAATAGAAATCGTAATAAATAAGAAGAAATTTTCGTAACTTTGATGTCTTAAAAATTGATCTAAGAGCTATTTATTTAAGTAGAAAAATATTACACAAATATAAACGCTGTTCTACATAAAATTCTAAATTCTACAAGTGGTACAAAGAATTTTTAAGATTTTTAATTTTGGTTATTTAAAAATTTCATTGTTAATTAACTATCTAAAAAAATTAAATTTATTACATCAGTAAAATTTTATATTTCATAATTACAATTCATCGTAAAATAATATTTTTTATTAAAATAATCTTTTCTAATAAATTATGAAAGACATTTTTAAATATGCTCTAAATATTTATTGACTTATTTTAATTTTCATAAAAAAGATTGTCTTAATTAATAATGTAAATTTTGTAAGCTTTTCTCATGTTTATACAAATTTATTTTAAAAAAATATATTTTTTGTTTATAATCAAATAAAATTGAAAGAAAATATTAAGAACAATTTAAATCAATAATTCGACTCTTAATACAGAAAATTTGCCGAATAAATATTTTTCCAAATTATTAAAATCCATAGACATAATTTCGATTAATCATCTGGTCTTCCTCGACAATACATTAATATTAATCAATTATTGCCAATATTATTTGGCAAGTATTATTGGCAGTATTATTGGCATTTGGTCTGGAAAATTGTGAAAGCGAAGTATAAACGCAAAATCTTCTTTAAATTAAAATTAATTAAAACAATGTTATGTTTTAAATAAAAATTAAGATATTAGTTGAAAAATTAAGTATTAGTTTAAATACAAATATTTTCCGACGCTTGCAAGCGCCAAAATTTTTTAATTTCAATAGTGCATTTGGCGAAGGGGATACTTTTACATTTCAAAATTAACAATTATTCTTTTTTCTTGTTAAAGAAAATTATTTATTCTAAACGTGATTTGAAAGTAGCATAATTCATAAGCTTAATTTCGATACTAATAGACATGTGCGAAACGATTCTTCCATTTCTTTATGACAATACCGCAGCGATCAAATTCTTTCTCCGCGACATTTACAGCATCGAAGAACAAGTTTACTAGGATTGCATACTTTAATTCATCATAAATCTATGAATACATTTTTTATACATTGTTTAAGTTGAAAAAGTGGATATAT